TGTCATCCTTGAGACAGAAAGTTTTAGATGTAGCTTTTATCTGTAAGTATGTTTCATTCCAATCTCTGAAATTATAAGTGTTGAACTAGTCACTACTGGAAGTTGTTTAAAAAAATTATTTTGGATGGACCTTCCATCCCCCTGCCCTTGCTTTTTTGCCCAGTTTATTCAGGAATTTGCACATAAAATCAGAGGATGTTCAATAACGGAAAAGTATCACTGGAGCAGATAAAGAATAAAAGCCTGTCTTATATATAGATGGTCTGTTATACTTGGCATTATTATTGATCTCTTCATCCAGTGTGATTTTGGCAGTGTATAAATTCAGGTGTACCGTATGTCTGGTTATAAAGTAAATGATCATAAATCTGAAATCCTGCCCTTACATTCCAGAGGGCAATGCAAGAGCAAATGGAGCCATACATCCTTTGCAGTGGTCTTACTTAAAAGTTAAAATTTCCTGGCACACATCTATATCCAAAACTGGTTTTCTTGTTCGAATAAAACTCTGTAGCGAATCTAAGCTTAGGGAAAATGGAAAAAGAAAGGTTTATTGACCAACCTGAATATATTAATCTAATTAAAATAAACTAACTTGTTTAACAAGCCTTGCTGTTTTTCCTGACTCTTTTTGGTCTAGAAAAACATATAACATTATTACCACAACTATTATTGCTGATGGTTTGGAAGTGTTGGGGGAAGGAAATAAAGAATGCAGACTGAACTCAGTGCTACCAGACAAATCGTTTGGATGAAAACTAGTTCTTCACAATGTTAGCGGTAAAGTTTAAATAACTGATACTTATCCCTAGGATACAGAATGGGAGCACATTTAATATAACACCAAAGGACACATTTTAAAAGGTGCTAAGAAATTGCCCAACATTCCTGAGAGATAAGGGCATGAGTGACTGGTGCCTCACGAGTCTGGGGGGAGCATCAGCAGGGCATGACCAGCTGGTGACCAGGAGGGGGGAGTCCCCCAGCAGCCAGATGCCCCAGCAAGCGCTCTCCATGCCCCACTACCAGCTGGAGTGCTCACTATCAGGGGGGGCACCAGCTCTCAGGTGGGATACGTGCCCCACCCTGTGCCCCTCCCTACATGTTGCCTATGGATGAGGGTGCTTTGTACCTTGCTAGTCCAAGATTACCAAGGAACAGCAAAAATTGGAACTTCCATTACCATCATCTTTTGTGGACTGTAGAAAGCATGAGGTACTTGTATCACATTTGAAAAGTCAATGTCTATAAATACTGTATATTCTCTCACTCAATGCACCCCAGAAGATATGCACCTTGTTTTGAAAGGAAGAATAAAGAAAAAAAGATCTTTCCTGGTAGCAAGTAACTGAGTAGCAAGCGGTTAGGGAGCCAAGCCTGGTCATTGTTCTCCTTGTGTGAAATGCTGCAGACTCTACTTTCACTTCTGCCCAGCATACAGCAAAAAATGCTCTTACTACACTTCTTGCATTTAATGCACATTCCAATTTCCAACTGCTTTTTTGGGGGGGGAGGTGCATACCATATGAGAGAAAATACAGTATCCACACTTAAAACCATTTATCCCTACTCTAGTTTTATCTCACACACAACTTCAGTAGAAATCACATATTAATCTATCCCCAAGTCTAACAACTGTCAAGATAAAGCTACAAATAGTGTTTTTAGGTCAGCAGAGAACATGCCCTTCATTCCCCTTTTACCCAATTAATTTCAGCAATCCCGGTTTAAGAAAATATTCTGACACAGAATAGGTTTCTTTCCTCCTGTTCCTCCTCAGCAGAACTGTGAAAATAGTTGATCCTCAAGTATGCTAACTAAACTAAGACAAATCCAAAAACCGAGTGGGGGAGGAAGAATTATTTTGGATCAACCTAAAATTAATTTGTGTCAGCAAAGTAAAAAAGTATTTGAAAAAATTCATTTTCTTGATGGATTGTTAAACATTTTTTAAATTAAATTTCGGTAATTTGATATCTGCCCATCCTCTGAAATCAGGCATGCCTGCCTAGGCCAGGCACCTGAGTTTCCACACCTGCCCTCATCTCTGACTAATACGACTGCCCCAGTTCTCTGCAACTGGATTGGCTGCTGAAGGCACCACTCACTCCTTATAAGCACACCCAGGGCCATCCCTTGGGGGGGGCGGGGACACACACACGAATTGGGGCAACCACCCCAGGCCCCGCGGTTGTCCCAATTCGGAGCTGGACAGAGAAACCGCAGCCCTTCCTGCAGGGCCCATCTAGTGCTGGTGACTCTACACCGCTGGCACTGGCTTTGCATCCAGCTGCTTGCCCCCTGCTGCTGCTGGCTTCTTCGCATCTGGGCCCCACACAGGCTGATTTGCGCTGGACCCCACACCCTACTAGGGTTGTCTCTGAGCACACCTGCAGCCTCAGACTGAAGGCACGCCTTCACACAGCCTCTCTCTGTTCTGGAAAGCCTCATGCTCACTGCTCTCTGGTTCTCCTGGCTCCTGATTCGGCTTTGGCTTTTTCTGACCCTGATCTTGGATCTCCCTTGGAATTCAGTACTGAATGTCTGGCCCCTGGTTTTGGATTTCACTTAACAGACTAAACATCTCAGATCTCCCCTTTCAGCTCTCCGGGTCCCTGTGCTCTCTGGTCTTTTAGTTCTAACTCCAACCTGTCATTTGGGTATTCAGTACTCCCACCTTGCTGACCCCCAGGTCACTCTTAGTGCCCTACCATAGGCCCAGACACAAACCTTCACAGTAACTATCCCGTAGGAAAAATTACAATACCATATCTTCTTACATATAATATGCTCACGAATATAGCACACAGCCTGCTTTTGGTGGAGCAGGGATAGGCTGGGTCTGGCCACAAGCTAACCCCACATGCCAGTCTGATCTGGTGCACTGGCTCCAGGGCCACATACTAAGTCTGGGGTTTTGCACTGAGTCCAGCTCTAAGAATGCAGCCAACCTAGCATGTGGCTCCAGACCTGATGTGAAATGGAACTGACCTAGCACATGGTCTGGGACTGATGTGCTGGATCAGGCTGGTGTGTAAGGTCGGTCCATATCTGAACCCAGCCCACTCCAGCAGAAGTAAAAGGTTCACAGGGCTGGTGCCTAGAGCTGAGCTGTGACTACTGCTGCCTGCCTCCCCTTGTGTCCTACATCTCCACAGCTGGAAAGAAGGCAGCAGACAGAGCAGCCTGCAGCCCTGGCTTCTGATTGATCAATCATTTTCTCAAATGGACCCAGCATGGAATATGACCTCAGACCTGGCACACTGGGTCTGACCCCATGTGCTAGGTCTGGCCTGGACTGACCTGTGTTCCAGCTCAATCTAGAACACTGTGGGCATGTCTACACATTGCCCTATGATGACATTGTTACTGTGGCATACTTTAGTACTTCCTTTTGGAAGTACAGATAAACTGTATTAATATATTTAAATAGTATTCTCAGCAGTGATAAAATATTTGCAAATGGAAAGACACTCATGTCAAATTGTCACCGTATTGTCACGAGCTATAATTTTGGCTAAAATCAGCCACTGGTTTAGAATTCCTTTGAGACTTTAAAGTTTTGATACTGGACTCAAGCCTTGAGGCTTCATAAATGTTTTTAGAAGCTACTAAATATCCAAGAGCATAAGAAATAAAAGCTGTCTTCTAGGCCCTCTGATTGAACAATGAGCCAAACAGTTGTTGTAAAATGGAAAAAAAATAACTGATTACATGTATGAATAGACACTGGTCTTCAGAGATACGTATATGCAATTTGCATTGAAAGCAATAAGCAATGACTTGTACACACATCTCAGAGAGCTAGCTAGGTCACACATAGCTTTTACCAACTATAGACAGCCATATTTTTTCATTTTGTATTTTCTTGATTTCAATTAAGCTGCCTAAGACACTAAGTAACATTTTCAGGGTTCTTCTCATAAAGATCAACCTATTGCTTGTTTTAGCATCCAATTTGCTGTTAATTACTTCACCCCAATTCTGATTTCCTTGCACTCACTGAGCAATACTTCACTGTAAAAACAGACATGGCATTTCTCCCAGGAGAAAACGTTTTGTTACCAGCTTACTTTACGTGTGAAATATGCAAAATACAACGTGATAACCCTTTTTTTCTGAGACAATGCTGTGTTCCCAGGTCATTCAAGTTAATTGCCAGAGAGGCAACATGCGTCAAGGGCTGAGCAGCTTGTCTTTCATCCCTCTTTTGACATGAATCAATCAGAACTGCCTCAAGAAAGATGTCTGTTAATACACTTACTCTCCAGAAGTTCCACTAAGGGCAAGGAGGATTATTTCTGGAACAAGATTCACTTTGACTTGAGTAAAGACAGAAAAAAACTGATCCGACAGTAGTGTACTTTCTGGGAAACTGGAAGTTATGTTGTTTTAGGAAAGGGCGGTATTTTTGCTGAAACCCAAAATAGAGAAACAAAAGCTCAGAGGTCAATTCAATGCTCTGCTACAGACTTTCTTGCACATGTGACAACGAGCCACCAAATTTTCATTTATGTCTTTTGAATCTCTTGCCCTTAACCTCTCTTCACCTGAGTTTTTTTCCTTTCTGTAAAACCAAATTAAATACTTTCCTACTCAAGAGAGTGCTATGAGGTTAAATGTTGTAATGTTTAGATAGTGATTTAAGATACTCTGATGAAAGGTGCTATTTGTGCTATTTAAGTGTGAAATATTCTCAGTATTAACAATGTTATTGAAATTTGCCTGTACTTGCTTTTCCTGTTAATTTTCTGTACTTGAGCTCTCACTTAAAACATATGAATGTTTGATAAATATAAAACATGTGCATGTGCAAGTCTAATATATAAATGCACACACATACATGCACATACTAATACAAGTCAACATAAAAATATAAATCTTGAACCTCAACTATATTAAATGAGAACTTTTGCTAACATTTCTGGCTAGTATATCTGATCTATACATCTGACTTCTACTCTTTAGTCCATATATTTTCAACTCTAATTCTCACTTACCCTTTTTGTTCGGGGATGTCCTCCAGCAGCATGTAAAGGAAATCCTGGCAAAGAAACAAAGTGCCCCAATTAATATGCCTATCAATAGACAGCTCTGGGTCTACAGCACAAACAACAGAAAAACAGTCCTGAAAACACTGCTGTATATTTTAACAAAATTATATATTTTTTCCTACTTAGAAAACTATATTATTAAGATTGCAAAGCTCAGCATGCAAAAGTTAAAAAATGTCCCTTTTTCAGCCCTTCTGTGAACACGCATTCTAAAATAGTCTTTAATTATATAATCACATGCTATTTTCTTTAAAAGTATGTCACTGATACAAATGCTACTCCCTGACAAATTTCAAGATATTGCTCCCACACCTAGCAGTTTCTAGAACTTCTCAAAGAAATGGTTGTGAAAATTGTTTGATGTGGGCTGAGCATCTTCTTTCTTCCGTTCTTTTGCATGCGCGTTCTCTCTCTCTCCCTCTCTCACTCTTTGTCTCAAATTGCCTCAGACCAGCACCTGGAATGGAAAATTTGAGCCCATGTGGCTAAAGTCTGGCAAAATTATAAGCAACCGAATGTATAGTCTTATGAAGGAAAATGTCAGGCAACCCTAATTATAAGGGGTACTACAGTACAGTGTTTACTCTTTGTATAACTACCTCTTACATACTAAAGGTTTTTTGGCACCCACTTAAAACAATCACATTTTTACATCACTCACTTCAATACAACACACTTACTACTTGAATCACCATAACACTCTTATGAGAAGAAGTACTATTAATTTGAACAGGCCATTTTTTATACTGAGCTTCTTTTTAGCAGGAAATAAAGTCTATCTATATTCTTTAAAAGAGGGACAGAAGTCTAGTGATGTCCTGCACCACAATGCAGGGGAGCTTTCAGATTCCTGAATGTGAACTCTTGCTCTTCAGGCCAGCCCAGTGTTGTGTTAAAGGGAGCAAAATTAATTCAAAGGAATGGTGGCTGTCTCAAGATATTCAACAACTATTTTGATGTGTGATGATTATATTGTTCAATATCAAAAGAAGAGGGATTACATAAGATAACAGAATCATGGAAGGGACCTCACAAGGCCCACTGCTCAAGGCAGGGTCACCCCTGTCTAAACCATCCCAGCCAAGTCTGCACTTGAAAATTTCCAGGAATTAAGTGTTCAAAACCTGTCTAGTGAGCCTGTTCCAATACTTGACCACCTTCACAGAAAGAGAGTTCCTCCTAATCTTCAACCTAAATTTCTTCTGCTGCAACTTGAGGCCATTACTCCAGTCCTGTCACCTAGGGCCACAGAGAAAAGTGTATCTCCATCTTCTTTACAATTCCCCTTCAGATATTTGAAGACTGCTATCAAATCCTCCTCAGTCTTCTCTTCTACAGACCAAATAACCTGAGATCTGTCAGCCTTTCCTCATAGGTCATTCTTCCAAGGCTTCTAATCATTTTTGTTACTCTCCACTGGGCTTTCTAATCTCCCCATATGCTTTTTGAAGTGTGGGGCCTAAAACTGGACATGGTACTCCAGGTGAGTCCTCACCACTGCTAAAGAGAGCAAAAGAATGACTTTCCTTGACTTGCAAGTGACACTGCTGTTTATACAATCTAATATACTGTTGGCCTTTTTCACAAGAGTACACTGCTGGCTCATATATGGCTTATTCAGCTACTGTAATCCCCAGGTCCTTCTCTGAAGTCTTGCAATCTAACCAGGCATTCCCCAGTCTGTATTTGTTCACTCAGTTATTTCATCCCAAGTACATACTTTGCATTTGTCCTTCTTGAATTTTATCTGGTTAATTGCAAACTAATTTTCCAGCTATCCAGGTCATTCTGGATCCTAGCCCTGCTCTCCAGTAGGAGAGTATCTGCAGCTTCACCAAACTTGGTGTTGTCTGCAAATTTGCTAACCATATGCTCAATCCCAATGTCCAAATCATTAATGAAAACGGTGAACAATACCTTTGGGGAATCCCACTTGACTCCCATCTAAACATTCAAAATTGTAGATAGAACAAGCAGGACAAACTGAAGATGTGAGACACCTGCTATATGAGAATCCCACAGCACACACATGTTTGAAGTCACGCAGGAGCTTCCTCACCAGCACCCAACCTCTCAATGCCACACCCAAGAACACATGACTGTAGATGTGGAACAAGAGGCTAAAAAAAATAACTGACAGTGAAAAAATTTACATTTCAGCAGCCAAGTCCTTACCACCAGGGCCTGATGATGCGAAATGTGGCAATATCTCAACCGCCTACATACCAGAGTCAGACATTCCAAGGAAGTAATGAAGAAGTAGGGCTACACCGCTGGTTCAACCACCTGTGACTGTGGCACAGAGCCTAAGACTATGCAACACCTGCTGTAATGCTTGCTGCTCAAAGGCACATGTACAACAAAAGATCTTGCAAAGTAGAATAAGCAAGCACAAGCATGTGTAACAAAATGGTCAAATGTGGTGTAGAAACATGAGAAGAAGTCTTAGACATTGAGCCATTGATAACCATTCACTGACAATGAATATCCAACGAATCCTCTATATCAAATCCCACGAATACTTTGGAAATGATTGTCTTGGAGGCAGAATCATTTTACACTTATGACAACAGCTCTGGATTAGCCATCTGATGGTTTTTCAGCTTCGAAGTTTAAAAAGTTATAAAACTGCACATCATGTTCATCTGTCCACAATGTTCCTCAATCTCATCTTCAGTGAATCTATTGTTGTCTACCCTTTCAGCCTGTCTTCTATTGCCTCTGTGAACTCTTTGCCCTTTTATTGCATCTCTTCTACGATATCCTCTTTGCTCATCTGTTTCATTGTGTCTTACTCTTGCCATTCTTTCTGCATTCAATTGTTGTGTAGTCTCTGCTTCACACACTGTCTCTGCAAACCCTTTGCCTTTCCATTGCATCTCTTCTATGACATCCTCTTTGCTCATTTGTTTCATTTTGTCTTACTCTTGCCATTCTTTCTGCATTCAATTGCTGTCTGTTCTCTGCTTCACCTTGGTATGGGTGTTGTGGGCTAAAGTAAGCTTCGTTTGTGCCTTTGCCATTCTGCCTGTCACACTCAATTCTCTGGACTTTTAGTGATTAATTTCAATTAGTTATGATGTATTCTTGATATCCAAGCAAAAATTGCCCCTTAACACTGTTATTTTTACTTTAGCCCACAACACCCATACCAAGGTGAAGCAGAGAATAGACAGCAATTGAATTAAGAAAGAATGGCAAGAGTAAGACAAAATAAAACAGATGAGCAAAGAGGATGTCGTAGAAGAGATGCAACAGAAGGGCAAAGAGTTCACAGAGGCAATAGAAGACAGGCTGAAAGAGTAGACAACAACAGATTCACTGAAGATGAGATTGAGGAACATAGTTGTGGATTGATGAACATGATGTGCCAATTTTATAACTCTTTAAACTTCGAAGCTGGAAAACCATCAGATGGCTAATCCAGAGCTGTTGTCATAAGTGTAAAGTGATTCTACCTCCAAGATAATCATTTCCAAAGTATTCGTGGGATTTGATGATGAACTGGAACAATGAGCATTACCAGAACTTTAAAACAAACGTTCAATTGTACAACAGTGCATTGCCTGTTGAGCAAAGATTATTGTGATGAGATGTATGATCCATGGACCATGTAGAGGATTGAGTCCAAATGCACCATGCACGGAAAATCATCAATGTTTGAAGAAACAGCCGAAGGATTTCAGAGAGAAGACACTTGGAAATGTTGATGGCTACCCATTATCTAGAACAGGCTTGTCCAACATGCGGCCCACGGGCCGCCGTGCAGCCCTCCAAGCTGTTTTCTGAGGCCCGAGGTGCTGCGACGGGAAATGAAAGTAAACACTGTACTTTCATTTTGGGGAGGGTGATGTGATATCGCTTCCTGTGAGGTCTTTGAATATGGCTCGCTGGCCCACTGGGTGATAAAAAGTTCATGATCCAGCCCCACATTCAAAAAGGTTGGACACTCCTGATCTAGAAGAAGACCAGGCAGAACAGCTCAAGTTGGTGATGACACAATGGATAACAGAAACGTGGTACCCTATAACAAGTAGCCTATTTTTGCCTGTCATTTTTGACAGGCTTTTACGCTAGTTATGTAATAATTAATTAATTATGAAATCACATTACAGTGTTTTCATTTAGTCTGTATTTCCTTAGCTTGTTAATGAGAAAGTTGTGAAAGAAGGTGTCAAAAGCCTTGCTAAAGTCAAGGTATATAGTGTCCACTGCTCTCCCCCCTTCCACAGAGACTGTCATTTTATCATAGAAGGAAATCAGGTTTGTCAAGCATGGCTTGCTCTTAATGAATCCATGCTGGCTGTCCCTGATCATCTTGTTCTCTTCTAGGTGCTTCACAATGGATTCCTTGAGGGCCTGTCCCAAGATCTTTCCAGGAATCGAGGTCAGGCTGACTGGTCAGTAATTCCCTGAATCTTCTTCATCCCTTTCTTAAATATGGGCACTATATGTTCCCTTTTCCAGTCATCCTGGATCTTACCCAACCTTCAGGAGTACTCAAACAGGATAGTTAATGGCTCTGAAATTCCCTCAGCCAATTCTTTCAGTACCGCTGGATGCATCTCATCCAGTCCTGCTGACTTGAAAGCATCTAGCTTCTTTAAATAACTTCGAACCTGTTCTGCCATTACTCTAGGCTGTTTGACTCCTTCCCTATCTTTGCTGCCAACCATGCTCATCATCTGGTAATTGACCCTATTTGTGAAGACTGAAGTAAAAAAAGGCATAAAATACTTCAGACTTCTCTGCATAATCTGTAACTAGATTGCCTTCTGCATTCCATAAAGGGCCTACAATTTCTTTGGTCTTCCTTTTCCTCAATTTTTATTGCCTTTTATATCCCTTGCTAGTTTCTCAGTTTGCTTTTTTAAATTCTAAGAAATTAAACACACAAAAAAACCTAATTAAGGAACATTAGGGAAAGTTGAAAGTCAAGCACTGAAGAGTTGAGTTTGCTGAGGCAAACTTCTTTCAGCCACATTGCTTG